ATAGGTGATTCAGGGTCACATACCTGGACTCCAGGATGTCAAACCTCGATGACAGTCCCCCACAGAGGAAAGGAATGGAGAAGAAGGAACAGAGACCCCTCTGCCGTCCCTTCTCTTTGGCTGCCATGTTGCCATCTCTTGAATGTTCCCATCCTTGACCATGCCTGCCCCTCCCTGCCCCTCCCTACGAGTTCATTTAATGACCAATGGAAACCCCTGTCTTCCCACCTCCGGTCTTACCACCTCCAGAGACCCAGACCAGCCAGAGACACCCAGATCTTTCTAAAGGGTTTGCTCTAAGTGTTTGTTCAGTAAGATGAAATTGCTACAAAAATAATCAAGGTAAGGCAACAAAGGAACCTTCAGGCTGGGAGGTTGTCAGGGTGAAGAGCCTGGGCACCCGGAGGGAGCTTGTGGAATCTCCACTGGGTGCTTTTGGAGGCAGAGTGCACTTGCTGGGCCCAGGACACTTCATCTGGGCAGTCAGCCTTGCAGGGGAGGGGACTGAAGCCAGGGTTGGGTTGACAGGGAGGGAGCCCTCTGCTCTTCCCCACCCAGATTGCCCTTCTGGCTGTCTGGGTGACTCAAGACTTGCCAACAGGTCTGGATGTGCTGGGACAGGTCCCAGCCTCTCCTCCTCCCCCACGCCATCCCAGCAGGCATGATGGGGCTGTCTCCTCCTCCTGTCTGTCTGAGGGCTGACTGCAAGCCTTCTGGCCAAGGGTTTGCTGCTGGCCACTTACTTACCCAAGCCCCACCAAGTTCTGGTCCCAGGCAGCTTAGACCCCTTCCTGGGAGCCCTAGATGGCTTCCCTAGGGGAAGGTCTGGGGGCACTGGGGACACTGAGCCTCACCATTGTGCTACTCGGTGGTTAGCTCAGGCATTGAAGCCAGGGCGCTCTGCCACTGAGCCACATCCTCAGCCCTTTCTATTTTTTATTTTGAGACAGGATCTCACCAAGCGGCCAAGGCTGGCCTTGAACTTTTGATCCTCCTGCCTGGGCCTTCCAAGTCACTGGGATTACAGCCGTGCACCACTCCAGCAGGTGACGCCCAGGCTTCTCCATGCCAGTTCCTGCTCTCTTTCCTAGACCTCAGGTTTAGGAACAGGTCTAGAAGAGGGAGGCCCCACACACTGATAACCTTGTGAGGCTGGGGTCATGGCAGTTGGCCTGGACCAGGCAGGCCTCATCCAGTCCAGTCAAGCTGGGCCAGCATTGGCCACGAGGGGAAAGGCCTCTGGGAGTAAACAGCTCTTAGCCCCCAGGGAAGAGGAACTGTGAGGGCCTCTACTGAGCCTTCAGGGGTCATAGGCTGAGACTCATTACGTTTCTATGGGGTCAGCCCTGGACTTCTCCAACAAGTTCTGTGCCTTAACATCCACGGGTTCAAGGGTGAGGAGTAGTAATAACTGCCCGGGGTTATCCCACGACATTCCAGGCACTGCGCCAGTCTTGACATGCAATGTCATGTCTCCTGAGCCCAAATCTGTGAGCCAGTGTTGTCCCATTGTGATCAGCAAATGAAGTTTTCTGATCTGAGATCAGCTGGAACCTCATCAAAGGTGAGTAAAGACTTTGATCCCAGGTCCCTTAATATTGGGATCCTCATGTATAATTAATTAGAACAAATTAAAAAAAATTTTTTTTTAAAATATTGGGTCCTATCTTCACTTAAGGTGCTGGCTACTAAGGAAAATTAAGCCTGCCACAGAGATGGCTCCCGGTGTCCTGGCCCAGCTCCCTTCCTATACTCCTTTGTGACCCCAACATCTCCTCCCCTCCTTCCCTTCTGCAGCCCAGAACCACTGGGAGGACCCCGGGCTGGCATGTAGGTCCCCTCCTGCTAGCCTGCGCTGTCTTCTGGCTTCGGTGTTTGCCAGGGTGGCACCTGCTGGCATGCCCCTGGTCCACAAGGCTGCAGGGTAGATCAGCTCTGCACAGGCACAGTGGACATGTCCCCGCCAGGCCAGTTCAGTGCTGCTGGAGCCACGGGGCCCCAGGCAGAGATGCAGTCTCAGCTGCCCCCAAGTCAGGGGACCTGGCTGCATGAAGTGTGCCTGTCGGCTGAGCCCTGGGTGACTCAAGACTTGCCAACAGGTCTGGATGTGCTGGGACAGGTCCCAGCCTCCCCTCCTCCCCCACGCCATCTCAGGGTCCTACCTATTGGTCCCACAGAGGGGCAACTCTGATGCAGTGTCTACTCCATGAACCCTGGGTGACAGCAGGTGACAGGGCCTGAGTCTGGGCAGGTAATCCCATTTTTACATAGGGAGTGAAGACTAAATAAACAAGGAAGAATTAGTGGCCGTTGGAGGAACAAAGTCTTGTGTGGCAGGGCTTCACTAGAAACCCCCTTGTCATGATGAGGTCAACACAAGCTAGTGTTGTCTCCTACTGGATGGAGAAAATTTAGCTGGGGCTGACCAGCTCCCCCCGCCCCAGGATCAGCCAAGAATGGCCTCCTCCCTTCCCTCCTCCCTTTCAATGGGGACTGTGCCTGGTGGTGACATTTAAGAGCCAATTCAGGGGAAGGCACCTGACCTTGGGGAAGAATGTGGGAAATGTCTGAAGCCTGAAGGGGCCACCCCCCACCTGGGGCCCAGGAATGTGGGCTCTGGGCCACCTGGGGCCCCCAAGGGAAGTGTGTGCATTGGTGGTTGAAAGAGAAGTAGGGAAGCGGGGTCCAGGAAGGACTTTGTCTGAGGGCCTGGAAAGGTCACCTGGTGAAATCCCTGCATGGTGAAGAGGGTGAAGTCCAACAGTCATCATGGCCCTCCCTGCGCTTCTCCAATCCAGGTAAGGCGCTGTCCTTGACTCCTGACCTCTCCTGGAGGGCACAGATAGTTTCTCTTTTGACTTGTCCAATGCACAGAACCACAGCATGTCAGGGATCTTCAAAGGTAGCAGGGACCGCATCCCTGCTGTTTTACAGATGTGGACACTGAGGACCCCAGGTGGGGCAAGTTGGCTTCACATGCACTAATTATAGGCCAGGACTCAGGGTCCTGCGCTCTGGGCTGGGTGCTTTTCCCACACACACCCCTCTCATGATGCTAGAGATGAGCATCTCCCCCCTCTCAGGAAGGAGACTTGGTGGCCTCTTCCAGACTCCCATGGGGGTTCCTGCTGGGAATCTAGTGCCTTCTGGGCTGCCCTTCTGTGGGAACTGACAGGAGTGAGTGCTGCAGCCACAGAACAGAAACTGAGGGCCTGGCCTCTATGCAAAAGACCATGGTCCACTTGGACAGCAGGTGCTCTATGCCCCAGCTAAGTGGCATTAGCAAGGCTAAGCTACCCTCAGCAGGTGCCCACTTGGAGCTGAACCTTGAGAAAGGGTTTGGAGTAAGAACTCTGCTGCCCTCTCCTGGCCACACTTGGGCATGACTGCTGTCATTCAGGCCTCCTGCTGTTCATCTGCACCAAGCTAGAGGAATCTCCCAATTTCCCTCCCCCTGGAAAGGCGCTCCAGGAGGGCTGGACTGGGTGGGTGTCCTATCACTTAGGCCAGAGTGTTGGCTGCACAAATCAAGGTGGGAAGGGCAGATAGATGATGCCTTGTCACCAATGTTGGATCCTGAAGGAAAAAGGCTGGGGCCAGCAAGAATCGCTCAGCCTGTGCTACCCAGAGTGCTTTGGGGTGAGGGAGAGACTCAGAAGTTCCCATGGAGACCACTTAAATCAATCAACACCAGACAGGATGGTTTGAAAATTTAGAGGATATTTATTTCTTGGGAAGGTCCACAACAGCTGGCAGGCACTGCTTTTCCCTGCTCCAGGGGATTCCTCGCTCTTGTTCCGAGAAATCCCCTCTGTGCTTGGAAGTGCCGTGGGGAGGCTGGGATGGGGACAGAAACCATACACAACACTCCAGAGCCTTAAAAAAATAAAGCAACACACAACCTCCTCCCCACAAATACACACGTACAAAATAAATAGACATATAAAAGAGAGGCCACGCTTCTCCCACCCAGCCAGGACTGCGGGGGAGAGTGGGGCTGGGTGGCTGCCCCCCACTTCTCCCAGGATTATGCAGAGGCTATATGGCATGGAGGTGCCGATGAGCTGAGAATAAGCCCTGGCTTCAGAGGGAGGGCAGGGCGGTCCTCTCCCTGGAGCTCAGTGGGACAGATGTGGGGGTAAGGTTCTAAAGGAACAAATAAATAAATAAATAGGACCCAATGTGTTCCCAAAGGCCAAAGGGCTTGGACTGAGACTCAGGGCCTCTGGGGCCCCGTTTCCCTGAAAATAGCAGTGACAGGCAGGCAGAAAGACTAGCAGAGAAAACAAATCCAAAGCCACACCCCGCCCAGCCTCCAGAGCCAGCCTCCTGCAGATCCTGAAGGGCCAGAGGCCAGCCTCAAATCAGCTCTGGCAGGAAGGGGTGGGCTCAACTCCTGAGTAGCCACTCTGAGCTTGCTCTCTGGCCCTAGAGATACCAAAGGCCATGGACCCTCCCCTTCCTGTGACAGCAGGGACCAGCACAGCCTCCTCCTCTGGGACCAGCACAGCCTCCTCCCTCTCTTACTTGGAACTGTGGCTGTCTCCAGGGTGAGCTCTTCCCTAGGAAAGTCGAGGCAGAGCCTTTGCCTTCTCCTGTTCTTTGTGGCCTTCCTGAGCTGGGGCATCCTGAGGTCAGCTGGGAGAAGTCCTGTTTGACTGTAGGTCACCAAAACAATCCAGTCCCAGTGTCCACCTCGGCTCCACTTGGCCACAAGTGTCCCCGCAGTCTCCAGCCAGGGTCATACTCTCAGCCCCCTTCAGGACAGGAGGGAGAGGGTGTCGGACAGAAGGAAGTATGGAGAAGGGGCAGGAGCCGTTGGAATGGACAGTTTGGGCAGGAGGCCAAACCAGACACACAAAAAAGTCCGAGGGACTCAGGAGTCCCAGAGTCCCTCCTGGAGCTGTGTGGCCCCTGGGGGCCAGAAAGCATGGAGCAAGGGCAGGCTGGCCGCTCAGCTGGGCAGCAGCACATGCTCCAGGAGGTAGGTGAGGGAGTCCCAGTGCTTCCAGAGGAGGAAGAGGACGAGGACCAGGAGGGCGGTGCTGGTGATGCGCAGGCGTGTCTTCATGAGGGGCGTGATGAAGTTGGCAACAGTGGACACGAAAACCAGCAGCACAGCCATGAGCGCCAGGATCACGTTGATGAACTTGCCCAGCAGCGCCCGCGCGTTGGCGTTCTCCACGCCCTCCAGCTGCACCACCTGCTGCTGCTGCTGCTGCAGCTCCAGCTTGGTGACTCGGGTCAGGCAGGACTCCACGGCCTCCTGCAGGGGTGCAGGGGAGCTCAGCACGGGTGGGACCTCGAGGGGGGGCCCCACCCACCTGCTGGATAGGGTTTGAATGTGCCCTCCTGGGGCTCAGGGTTTGGAAGCTTGGGGCCCAATGTGGCCATGTTAGAGGGACTAGTGCAAGGCAACTGGGTCCCTGGGGTGCTGCCCTTGGTAGAGACTAGAGTGAGTTTCTTAGAGTGAGTTCCTGAGAGTGTGGATTATTACAAAAGAACAAACGTGAGCCTGAATCTCTCTGCCTTCCTGCCTCACCATGTCATCTTTTCTACACAGCCCCCCACATTGGGATGCCACCAGGCTCTCATCAGAGCCAGTAATATATTCTTGGACCTCCAGATCTTGAGCTAAATAAACCTCTTTTCTTTACAAACTACCCAGCCTCGGGCACCTTATGGCAGCAACATAAAACCGACCAATACATACCACCCCAGGATCTAGGAGGGGTGCAGAGTGATCAGTTGCAGCTGGGGGAGAGCCCTTTATGGATAAATTTTGGGGGAGGATGCTAGGAAACGGGAAGGTGAGAAGCTGGCCCAATCCCAGCTCCCTCTGAGGCAGGCAGATACCTGGAAATGCCAATTACTCATTTGTAAGGCTGCCATCCAAGAGGTGGGGGGCATGGGAGGCCCTTGCCTCTGAACAGTGCACCCTCTTGGCCGCAGGCCCGCCCTGCCCTTATCTCCACCCCCATGATGCCCTCTCTATCTCTTTGCCTATCTGTCCTGGATCATGTAACAGTCTGTCCTATCTCCCCCAAGTGAGAAAAGCCCCAGCCCTCTGGCTTCTGCTCTGGCACATCTGGGACCTTGTCAGGGTGACTCTGGCCGTACCTGGATGTCCCGAGCCCTCTCGTAGGATTGGTAGGCCACCTTCTCCTCCATGCTGGCCAGCTCCTGCTTCAGGTTGGTCATCTCGTTCTGGTGAAGCTCGGTGAGGTCATTGAGCTGCTCCTCTAGCCGCTCGTACCTGGCAGCGGGAGAAGCAATGACACCAGTCCCGGCTCCCAAGCCATCCTTCTGTCCCCAGGATTGGCTCATTCAATCTCTCAGCAAACAATGACTGAACTCACGCAGTGTGTCCAGTCCTGTTCTAACTTTAACCCCACGACAGAAGCCATAATGCGTACACTTCCACATGCAGGCACTGAGCTAAGCAATTTGCCCACATCACTGCATAAGATCCTCACCACAACCCCATGAGACAGTACTGGGGTCATCCCCACTTGAGAGATAGGAGGACTAAAACAGAGAGGTTAAATAACCCGCCTAGGATCACACAGCTCACACATGGAGGAGTTAAGGATTGACAGACTTTAACCTGGGCTCTGGGTGACAGGGACACCTGCATGTAGAGGACATGATCCCTGCTCTGAAAGGCACAAAATATCAAAAGATGACTGCTAAGTGGCAGTGGTTGGTTTTTAGATGGGATTCCCTCTCAATTTCCTTCTTCACATACATAGAAGAAAAAGTGCTAACTATAGAAGAGATTCCCTCAAATCCCAAGGAGGAAGTGGCAGGTGCCAGAGACTATAGGCACAGAGCAAAGAGCAAAGCAGGCCAAGGGGAGGGAGGAGGGAGGACCCAGACTCCTGCTCAATTGCAGGCTGACCTTAGGAGCTTCCACTGGATGTTTAAACTTTCTGTGTCACATATTTACACACTTCAAACTTACAATTTGGACATTCAGGGTTCACAGTGATCCTCTGAGGTCAGGATGAACATTATCCTCACTGTGAGGACAGGGAACCCACATGCACAGTGTTGATTGCCTTGCTCAAGGTGCACAGTAAATAAAAGAGCAGGGATTTGAACTTGGGTGGCTGGCTCCAGAGTCCCTCCTGGGGACAGGACCCTGCCTCAGTCTCCTTTCCTGTGCACTAACCCCATAGCAACTCAGGCAGAGATACCTAAAGCATCTTGAGGTAGACAGAATCCCCAGGAGTCTATCTGCCTCCTGCCCTGATCAGTCTGGGGGAAGCTCCTTGGATCCTTTCTCTGTCCCTCCCAGCAGCCAGGATCCTTCTAGATGCTTCTCCTTCAGCCTCCACACCCTGGCTCACGCGGTCCGCTGGGCAGAAGCAGAGCCGTGCAGACACCTACCTGTAGCGCTCCTCCTGTAGGCACTGGGTCATGTAGGTATAGTCCCTCTGCAGCTGAGTCTTCATGTCCTCCATGGAGTCCTCCAGGTGCGACTGTCCGTCCTTGATCTCCCGCAGCTCCTCTAGCAGAGAGTCCAGGTTTCCGGGGGCTCCGAACAGCGTAGTGGACTTGGGGCTTCCCAGCGCGCCCCCAGGCCCCGCCCCGGAGTTGCTGCCCGCCCCTGCGGAGCTGGCGCTGGCGCTGGAGCACTCGTCATCGCTGCCGTACTTGGGGCTGGACACCAGGGTAGCGCTGCCACTCAGGGCCCGGGACGCCTCCTCTGGGGGCCCGTCTTCCAGGGGGTCCTTCAGGTGGGCAATGTTGTCGGCGCTGCCGAACTTGTTGCGGATGAGGCTGGCGAACTCCCGGGGCTTGGACACCACCGCGCTGTGGGTGGCCTGCGAGAGGCCGGACAGGCTGCCCTTGACGCCCTCCACCACGCCGCCCCCGAAGCCGCTGATGCCCGCGCGCACGTTGGCCCCCACGTCCTTCAGCCCCTGCTGCATGTCCCGCAGCACGTCCTTGGGCTGCCGCGAGGGTCCGTTCTGCTCGATCTCCTTGAGGCGCCGGCGGTAGTGCTCCAGCTTCTTGTGCAGCTGCGCGATGGTCTGGGCTGACTTCTGGTTCTTCTTCTCGAACACCTGCTTGATGCGGGACACCTGCTGCTTGTCCGCGTTGTTGGCCAGCTTCAGGTACTCGGCCACGTTGTCGTCCCGCGCCTCCTGCTCGATCTTGATCTGCTCGGTGATCTTCAAGATCTTCTGATGCAGGTGGTCGATGGCGGCCTTGGTCCGCTGGGGGTCTGGTGCCCCATCTGGCACGTCCAGGCTGATGGGACCATCAGTGTCACCATGGCCGGAGCCGGAGGGAAGGCTCAGGGACACCAGGTCTCCCTTGTCGCCCTAGGGAAGGAGGCAAGCAGAGGAAGCAGGGATAAATCACAAGCCCACAGGAGGGGCTGGCAGGATTCTCTCCTGTGGCCATGGAGACCTCTGGAACTTGATTTCTCTACCTGCCCCAGCACAGGGACCAAGCAGGTGAGACTGGAAAGTTGTGTGGTTGATTTCTTGGGGATGAGATCACCGCCCCCCCCAGAAAGCTCCTGCCTTGAGCAGGTCCCCCTCTGAGCTGACCAAAGCTTGCACTCTAGCCCCAAGACTCCCTGCCCTCCCACCTTGTCCTCAGGAACCCAGCAGAGAGCAGGTCACCTGCCCCTGCTGACACTTCTCCCAGACCCCCCTGTTACCTTCCAGCTCTCTGGAGTCACCAGCAACCTTTTCCGCTTCATGATGCAGGGCACACTCTGCCCTGACCTGTCTCCCAGAACTGGGAGAGAAGCATACACCCACCCGCCCTGCTAGCCAGGTCCCGGAGGACTCAGGTCCCAGAGGTAACTCACAGGCCAAAGGATGCTGGGAGCAGTCTGGGGTCTGAGGGTACCTGCCGCTCAGCTGCCCCTCCTCCCCATCAGGCAGGCGAGCTTCCCCAGCACATTAGGGTGGCATAGAATTTGGAGAGGCAAAGTAGAGGGACTGAGAAAGGATGAGGGGGAGGACAGAAAAGAAGGAAAGGTCACAGGAGATAGGAAAGACAGAATGCCAGGCTGGATGTGCAGGCAGGCCTGGAGCGGGTGCTCAGGGACTGCTGCCCCCAGGCCTCCTGGATCATCTCTGTCCACAGCAGAGCCCCAGCGCCTTATCACCATGAAACAGAAGCAGCAGGAAACGACTCAACCCCATATATTTTTACACACAGCACGTAAGACTGGGTCAGATCATTAAGGGGACAGGGGTGGGTGACTGTTTGTGGAGGAAGGAGTTAAACACAAAGAAAGTGGCCCAGTCACATGCACTGGGACCGGAAACAGTCCTTGCCAACTACAGGCATAAGTCACTTGCTCCATATCTGCCAAGACGCAAAGTTATTGGAAAACACTATTGAAAACAATAGCTCTGCAAAACCCAGGAGCCACGGGAGGGTGGCTTCCCTGTGGGCTTCCTCTGGGGCTTTTGTAGGTCACAGGTTCTCCAAGGATACTGACAACGAGGACCGTCCCCCTTCCCAATCTCTCCTGAAGTCAGGAATTTCCCCTTGGTTTGCTTTGGGTCTCTGCTCATGTCCTCTGGCCCTCCTGCCAGGTGTCTGCACCTTCAGGCCTCTGCTCCTCGCAGTGTCTGACCTATCACACCTAAGAGGCCCCCTCCACAGCCTCTCTTCAGTGATATCCCAAGGTCAAACATGTCTCCCCAGTCTGACTTAAAAACCCATGCTCCGGATGGCTCCCTGTGGTGATGGCAAACTGCTCATCTCAATTTTCCTGACCCTCAATATTCTCACCTGTAAAATGGGCAAAATCATATCCACTCTTAGGGATGAGGATTGTGACTCAGTGGTAGGGTGCTTGCCTAGCACCCATGAGGCACTGAGTTCGATCCTCAGCACCACATAAAGATAAAATAAAGGTATTGTGTCCACCTGCAACTAAAAAT